AAGGGAAGGGAAGGGAAGGGAAGGGAAGGGAAGGGAAGGGAAGGGAAGGGAAGGGAAGGGAAGGGAAGGGAAGGGAAGGGAAGGGAATCTCACCATCAGATGTCTGTAAAACAACTGTCTTGCTGTAAGGACCAACTCCTGATGAATTAAAAGCTTTGACTCTTGCATTATAGGTACTGTTGAAATGAAGGCCGTCAATAGTACAGAGAGTCTCCTTGCCCACATACACTTCCTAAGCAACACAAAAAAGAGAGGAACACAGTTTACCTGTTTCTCCGTACCTCATGATCACACAGTCAAACTTCTAAATATAAACCACATGTAAAAAGCTTCTTGTTGCTTCAGGGAATGTAGAGCTAAACATGGACAACTACAGCAGAGGAGGCATCAAGGAAGATCAGCAGCAGACACAGTAAGATAAAGCTGGGGGGATATAACAATACATGATAGAAAATCATGTAGATAGAAAAATATCTTATTTTTTGTATTCCTTTCCTAAAACATCTACATGCTTTCTGGATCCATGCAGCAGAAGCAGGGATACTTTGGCAACCTTCCCTACGCCCTCTTCCCCACTTCAGACAAACACAAAGCCCTATCCCAAGGAAACTTCAATACAAAGACACACAAATAAATGCTGAATGAATTTCTCACTCGGAATTGGCCACCATCTCCATCATCAAGTTCCAAGATATAACCCTCCACTGGGTTGTGGCTCAAAGGTGGCATTCTCCAAGCCAAAGTCACACTGTTGTTTCGGGTGCAACACTTCTCCAGCTGCAGTAATGGGACGGGTGGCACTGYAACAGGAACTGAGTACAGATTAGTGTAACTCTGCCCTAACCCCTTAGTCTGTGCTGTGAGCAAGACAGTGACTGGTCACTTATTATATTAGTTAGGCTGGTAACAAAATCTCAGAGGCTAAGTGGGATCTAAATGATCCACAGGCCCTAACCTGGTTTTCTGCCCAAGGCTGAATTTCATCATCCAGGACATTTTTTTTTGCAAAATTCCACAGTCTCTTGCAAGGGGCTGAGTGCTCTGAGCATTTATTGACTAAGCTCTTCAAAATGTCAATTTGCTCTTCTTTTATCTTCTCTACTCTGAGCCTCTAGATTATTTTGTGTGTTTTGTCTGTGTAAGAGCAAGCCCTTGAGCTGTTCTTTTGGTCCTACTCTACTTCTTTGTATAAAGAAAGGAGTGTTTACACTTCGTGTAACAAGTTCTCTGTGGGAAAATGGTGACTGTTGTGCCAAGAGGCAAATCTCAACCCCCACATTGAGAGTGGCGTTGAAGTCCAGCATCATACTTGGCATTACCCACCACTGCATTGAACTCAGATGTTGTGCAGCCAGGAGGAGTGTGGCATGAAAGGAAAGAGCTTTATAAGTAAGCTCTTGAGGGTTTTGTTTTCTGCAAAAAGAAAAGAAGAAAAGTCTTGTTGCTTTTTCTTTGTATTTGAGGATGATTCAGAGGGTATTATAAATAAAAATCTGCTTGTTTTTTTACACAGCAAGTTCAGACATTTCTCTCTCTAGAAGGTACTAGAGAAGTAGCAGAAATATGACAAGAGAAAAAAAAAGGAAAGCGGGGAATTCAGAGGAAAATGAGAATTTTAAATAAAATGTCCAATTTGGAGGGTTTTTTTCTGTGCTTGCTAGTATGTATAATTTCAGTGAAGCTTGGAGCAGACGGCTGTGTCAGCCGTCCACCTTCCTATCACTTTTGTAAAGCTGTTAAGGCTTTTAGGAGTCAAACACTAGGTCCTCTCTGCTTCTAAGATTGCCTCTGGAAAAAAAGAGATGAGAACCCAATTCTTGAAATTTATAAAATGCAAAGTTATCTATACGGAAATGTCTTCAATAATCTGCCAAAATTGCACCTCTCCAATCGCCTGCTCTTGGGAATACCAAAGGGAAGTTTTTAGAGATTGTTCACATAAGGCAAAAAAGTGCAAAAAAGAGTAGAACCCTTGGGGTAAAGGTAACTTGTTTGTACATCTCTTTTAACACCTGAAGTAGAAACATCATGCAAGATTAGAATACTTTTTTTATATTTTAAAATGTGTGTGTTCCCATTTCCTGAAAAGAACATGAAAACTGGCCCAATGCATCCAATGCTACAGGGAAGACCTGGGCTGCTTTACTTTGTGGACAGGTACATTTGTGTGAGTAATCCTAAGGACCCTCCTACTCACTTAGGACCAGCCTGTGACCTGAGCTGTCCAGCCATGCAGTAGTTCATGGAGGAGTAAGRAACTCCCACAAAGCAGCTGTCCAGCTTTGCTGGATTACGCTCGCTCCTGTTTCCCTCCTGCCTCCTTCTTAAAGCATACAGATAGGCACGGAGAGAGATTCACCTTGACCTCAGATTCCCTCTAGGAGTGGGGAGGATGAAGTCTTGTAAAAGTCAAAGGAAAGTGTAAAGGGAGATGAATAACTAGGACACAGAGAAATGCTTCATTTTGAGCAGCAATGCAACAACATGAAGAGAAGAAAAATATAGGCTAACTATCAGAATAAAAATGAAGATTTAAATGTTAAATTACTGTCCTACTTCCCAGGCAACTTGGTGTCCTATAGAGAGTTTTTGAAACTCTCTAGAGAGTTTTTAAAGGATTATAAATACAAGGGGAGAATGATGTTGCATTGGCATAGCATGACCTATTAATGAGTTTGATTAATGTCCTACTGTTATAAAAGTGCTTCATGCAGGTCACCCTTAGTGAAAACTGTGATACCGATGTTTCATGTCAACTCTGCAGTTTCAGAAGACATTGTTCAATGCAGCTCATAGCCACTCTCCTCTCAGGGTACAGATGGCTCTTCTAAGGTTTCCTTTACTGTTTGTCAGCCTGTCAAGGAAAGTTGTGCTCTCCACTCTCCCTCACGGATTAATTTTTAAAGGACTATATGCAGCAAAAGAACAAGGCCATCACAAGCTCTGATCTTCTCCAAAACTGGCTACATGAATCCAGAGTCCCTGCTGTAGCAGGCGCACTGCAGTGTTATTAAGGGGGAAGGAAAGCCCACAGGCAAAGACCCAATTTCAGGATGGAAACCAGTCAGAACTAGGGTTAAAGACGCATTTCTGACTGGAGAAACAGACAGAAGTCTAATACTAGACAACAAATACTAGAGCTCAGCTACTCCCAGTGGATCAGCCAGCCTAGGGAGTGGGGGACTCTGGGCTATCAGTGAGACACTTCCATCTACACGACTGATTAAGCATCACTTATGCACATACCACATTTCTGCTCCCTGCACAGTTAATTCGGTACTGAGTAACTTTGTCTTTCTGTAGAAGAAACACTCCCTGATCTTTATTGAGGTCAGCTTTGGAGAGGGCCTTATACAGAATCCACCAGTAAGGTACATGAACAAGTCATCAAAGCAAATTTAATGAGATTTGTTCTCATTTTCATTCTTTTTTGTCTAACAGAGCGAATCAATGTTTACTTGCAAGCAAGCTTTCACCTCTAACTGACCCATGCAAGCTCGCTGAGGTTGAATGAGGCCAGAGTTTGAAAAAAAATTAGAAATTCAGGCATGCAGTAAGCATCGATAATGATGTTACAGACCTTATGTCACAAAGCGTTTAAATGAAACAACCTGTAGCTGCAAGAGCCATGTTGGCCCTATTCTCTTAGGATCTCCCAAGTCTCTCTTTACAGATTAGCTCTGATGCATTCACTGTTGTTAGATCAATCAACATGTCGAGTTGGTAACACTCCCCTCACCAAACTTTTGGCAAAGTTTGATGTCTCTGGTGCACTGGGGTTACTGGGACTGGAGGAAGAGAAGCAGATGTGAAGAGACATATATATGCTTCTGCAAAAGGAGGCTCAGAAGTGTGAAAGTGTTGATGCTACATGTAGCAAAACATTACCCTGCAAGACCAGCTTCTCACAGACTCTGATGTGTTGTAYCTGGTACATCTGGGTGTTTGCTAATGAAACATTAAGTTGCTTAATCTGTAGTACCCTTATTTCCAGACGCAAAGACACTATGTGTGAGAAGACAATGCAAAGCTGGTTAACATCTCAGATGTAAATTCCAGGAAAAAAAAAAAAAAAAGCCAAATCTTCAGACCAATTTAAATACAAAGAGATTTGCAATCCTAGATTGAAAAATAGAAATATATCTCTATATATCAAACTTCTCATTTCTGACAAATGTTAGCTTGGGATCAATCTGTGCTTTGTACTGCTTGGGAATGCAAGAGCACTAGCAGGAAAAATGCAGTCCCTTATGCAACTGCAAGAGTTGCCAGGTTTGCAATAGTAGYGGCCAGAACAAATGACCATTGGGTTTCCACCACTCCTTGCACACTGGGTACAACTGGGTTTGTCCTCCACATGGGCTGGCCGGTAGCACCGACCAACCCAATGGGACATATATCAGACACTCCTTGGTTGAGCCAAAGAAAAGAGCAAAGAGAAGCTCTAGGAGAAGCTCTTCTTGTGGCCGATCCATTAGGATGCCTCTAGGAATCAAGGAACAGGACAGCTATTGAACTAATTTCCCCTTCTAATTCTCTGCCTCCCGTTTTTTGTTTTTTTTTTCAATCTGGTCACTCTTTGCAGAATAGCCGGGATATAGGAAACAGAGGTTCTTCCCCCAGTCAAACATATGTGTATGTAAGGAAATATTTATTTACCACTTCAGCTCTTCCTGAAGAGGTAGAGCTCTCTTACTACTGACAAGACAGCAGTAACTGGTATTTTGAATTATATATGTCAAATCTAGGAATGCTACAAAATGGCATAAAGTTTCATGCAACTAATGTCTTCCATCTTCAAAGCTGTCAGATGGTCCTGCTCTGAAGAATTTATCTTCTCAAATTTTTAACTGCACCTGATATCACTGTCTCAGCTTGTTCAGGTCATTACAAATGAGGTGAGCACATTCCTTTAGCAAACACACGGTAACCTTCATTTGCTAGAAAACTATCCTCAAATGACAAGTCATTCCTCATTCCTCTTTCTATGGCCCTATGACCCCCTTCTTCCCAGCACTGTTTCAAAGGATTCATAAAAAAAAACAGAAAAAAAAAAAAAAAAAAAAGAATCACAGAAGCTCACCCCTACATTTCATCTGAATAAAATCCAGCTGGTGAATCGCCTGCAGTAAAGGTTCACTATCCAAAGTCAGGTCAAACTCAGCAGACACTTTTGGTTCCAAGGCGCCTTTGACCCACTGTTCCTGAGATACTTGAACGCGCTTGATTAAAGCATCTGAGATCTGAAAAAGAGGACCAGGCTTACGGGAGTGCAGATGCAGCAGCATATCGCAGCACACTAAAAGGGACAGAATGTCTGTGAGATACAGAAAAATGAGATTAGGAATATGATAGTACAACTGAAGGAGGATAATTTTGCAGTGAGTTCCATTTATCTYGTATCCTCTTGTTACCACTTTTCAAAACATAATCCCATCTTAAGAGCAGCAAAATAAAAATAGTGCTTATAAAGCCTTTTAGAATTGTGTTAAATATCATGTATCTGCATGCCACATATGCTTATGAACTCTCTTCTCTGATCTACAGAAGCTGGGTTTGCTCTCCTGTTTAGAAAGCAGTTGCATAAAGGAAGACTTAAATGTTGGAGGGTCTCTCCATTTAGCAGAGATGATGCAGCGGATGAAAGCTTGAAGCAAGAAAAAACTTGCTTCTTGTAAGCAAAACTTCTTGGTAAAGAATGGGTGTATTTGAGTGAGAGAGATAAGTTCTCAGAAGTGATTGCCAAAGAACATGATCGATTTTCTACCATCGCATCAAGACAGAGTCCCACTTTTCATACTCTGCTCTATCTCTGCCCACAGACAATTAGGCCAGAAGTCAGACTAAAACAACCACAGTGGGCTCTTCTGCAACTGAAATCCTGTCTCTGTGGAAATCAATCAACTCAGCTGTCTCTGAGCTCAGTGAAGCATATCTGGAATCCTTCCCAACAAGTGTCCTGGATATCACAGCAGAATATTCTTCTCTCTAGGCCAGAGAGAATTTTCTTTTCTTTATTTCAGGAATTCAGATATCCTCCCTTGCCACTCCTGTTGGATTACACTTTGGTCTGGGCTCCTTTTCCAACAGCTCCTAAACAGCCTGTGCACCAAGTGGAGGAGCACAGATAGAGGGGTGCTGGATCCCTTGGCTCTATCTCAGCACCCTCGTTGCAAGAAGAGTTACTCTTGGTAATAGACAGCTTCAGTGTTTGCCAGTTACCTTGAAATCATCGTTAGATAAACCAAGGAAAAGAAAAAACGAAAGTACTTTTAATATCAAATGTGAAAGAAAAGAGTGAAGTCACAAAGATTTTAAGAAAAGTAAGCTGAAATGAAAACTAAGCATATCTCTAGCTAGCATGTAGGGAAGATAAGACTTCATCTGTTCTGTACTACCCAGTTGGCAAGCTGTTAAAATGCTTTGTAGTCTTGGGATTAATATACATTCCTACCTCCTGCTTGAGACTAGACATGACAGTAACAAGTCAATCTCGAGTGATAACAGGTTTAAGTTGGCTAACTCTCATTCTGTTTTTTAGGAATATTGTGACAAACCCTCATGCATTTATGTGTGCAGCAGGTCCTAACAGCCACATACACATCATTTTGATTGATGTGCCTTCCTTGTTAGGTAATTAATAAGGCAGTTAATAAGACAAAATAAATTAATTCTATTAATTAAATGAATTAATAAAATAAATTAGGCAAATGAATTAGGCAGTGTAACTGTTGTATTTTAGCTCATCAGTTGGCCATTTCATTGCTTGCCCCATCTCCTCCCCCATTTTGGTAATGGCAATAATGAAAGTCTCTTATAGCTTTCTGTCTGGAATCTAGACTCAGTAGCAACTGGAATTGAGTCAGAGAAAGGCACATGGTAACAAAAAGACACTTRCCAACTATCATGCTGCATTTTTACATGGGACCTAGCCCTAAAATCTTACTCAGTTTTTACAGAGAGACTCCACTAGGCTTTGCACACATTTAAAAACTCTTTAGACTTTACTACACCACAACGAGTAGGCTGCTGAAGGAAAAAAAAAAAGGAATAATGCCTTTAATTACACATGGGTCATATCCAGTGACCATGTAAAGACTGTGGGCTCAAATCAATAAAATGTCCTTATTCATGTAAACACGTGTTTCGGTTCCACTGAAGTTTATCAGAGAAGAAAATTGGGCTTGAAGTTCAATGAATGTTTAGATCAATGACTTTCAAGCCTGTTTGTTTTGAAAATCCCTAGTTACCCGAGTAGAGCTTTTTTTTTGGCACACAGACAACAGCTTTTATGCGGTTACCTCTAACCAATCTATTGGAAATGTTCACAAGTCCAAGTCTACATATTGAAACTAGTATTTAAAACAATTTCCAGGATCATTCTGAATTGAAGTATGTGCTTAAAGAACTGAGTTCTTATCTTAGAATTTAATGCATAGATTTTCTCAATTTGCCATGAATTATATGCTATATGATTACAAAATAGATAATYCATAGAATCTCATCAACATTGGTTTACTTGACACTTGCATTTTTTAACTTGGCTCTTTACAGATCATTAAGTTCATAAGCAATGTGACATTTTATTTTATTCCCCTTCTGATGTTGCCTTTGAATCATCTATTGCTTCAGACCACACACATTCCCAATATGGAAGTAAACATGGAAGCTTCATTTTCTTTACAATTTTGCCTAAAGGAAAATTGCATATTTATACAGACTATTTCACACTTCCTCTGAAATGACCCTGTCACTTTATTTATATATATGTATATATGTATATATGGGTATACACGTGTGTGTGTGTGTGTGTGCGCATGTATATGCATATATGTGTAGCATAAAATAAACACACTGTTTAGCAATTATTACATACCATATTTCCCCAGAATTATGCAGCCCAAAACCCAGCAGTTTAGCAGGAGCATAACTATACATGCATATGATCTATATGAATCATTTCACTTCATCAAGTGGCCAACAGAGCATGTACTGTACAAAGTTACCACCTCCTCAGCCACTCATACTAATTCCACACCTCAGTCTGTCTGTTTGAAGACTGACTTCACTGGAAATTAATACAATCATCAGGCTAGATGGACTTTTAGATGTTACTAAAAGGGATTAAGGTGAACCTGTCTAAGAGGTGGAACAGGCTAATTAGCCAAGCAGTCCATTTTTAGATTTGGAAGCCCTTATTATTTTTCTCTCCCAACAACACTGGAAAAGAAAATACCTGTAAAAACCCAGAGGGATCATTTTCTTTGATAACTTCTAGGCAATATTCCATGAGCCCTGTTGATTGGCGAAGCTTCAGTGTACAGTGATTTATCTGGTCCCAAACAACCTGGAAAACAAATATCAGTACAGTTCTGGTAACTGCCTCAGCTTCCATTTAATTGCATAAATTATTTCAGAAGAGGCAACAAATGGAAGACAGTGTTAAAGCTATGCCTGATTTAGCTGCCATATGGGCACTGCCACATCTCCATCAGCTACACTCATTTGCTCTGTATTGTAAATACCGATAATTAGTTTGGCAAAATGTTGTGCACAGTGAATYTCAATTTTCAGAGCAGATTAATTGCTCAAAGCTCAGATTTGCTTGGGGCAGAAAGAGCAAAGAACATGTTTTTACATTTTCAATATTCACACTTGTAGTCAAATTTTCACTAAAATTCAATCTTTCAATAAATCTTTGACCTAAACACAAGTGTTGTAGAGGAAGATAACGGGGTGACTTCTGGCAAATCATAGACTATCATTTTCTTCACAGTTCACAACTGATCTTGCTCCATTTAAGGAGGCACTAKCAGGATTAAGAAATGAGACAGGTATATTTCACTTTTTCAGATTTTGGATTTTGTTCTGCTGTCACACAACTTAAAACAGACCTAATAGTTCTGGGTAAAACACCACAATTCCTGAGTATAASAGGTTAACAGGCATAAGCTGCTAGTAGGATATCCCAAATGTTGCTTCCTGTTAAGCATGGAGCTTGCTGATCTTGACTAGATTTTATTCACTGATTTTCACTTCAGATTTTTCACTTCAGGTCTTCCTTAAGTCTAAGATATTATTTTTACCAGCACTATAAAACCTCTATATTAAGAAGTGGATATTTCAAGGATTTTTRTCCATTTAGAGATGTCTTTATTGCCATTTTATTTAACCAGTTATATCTTCCTTTTCCCTTCCTTTCCTGCATTTCCTTTATTTCTTTTGAGTCGAAGATCTCTGAAGGTAGCTTATCTGATCTAAAAGATTTCAAGAGAGACCCAAAATCTTACTCAGACAAATACTCTGCTGAGAGGGATTCCTGGCTTTTGGAAGTACTGAGAATGTAAATCACACACAGGTTTCAATGCTGAGCATCTCTTAAAAGATTGCCAAAAGCATCATATAATTAAAGACTAATGGCCTAATTCAGTAGATTGCTGAATCGTATTTCTAATTTTTAGCATAAAAACACAGGTCCATGGAAATGCTAAGCTTGAACTTGCTGAGTGACTTTAGGATTTGGTCAATGGAAATTTTTACCGTGTAAAGAGCTGGAGACTTAACAAAATGCCCATTAATACCAGTTGCCAGTAGCTATGCTCACCTGAATACTCACAGCTTATGAGAGTGGTGCTCACCTTTAGCTTGTGCTCACGCTCTTTGGTAACTTTTGTGAGCAGCTTTGCCTTTTGACGAGTTAATGCATCAACCAAGGCATCACACTGAGCAACAAGACAGGCTTCATAATCCAAACCGTTCTCCTAGAAGAAGGGGAGAGTCATGTTCATCAAAGAAAGCATATTTTACAGCTGAAGCTCTTGATCACTCTTACCTGTTTTCCATTCAGAAAAGATTTCCTTTCAAGACCCTAGCGTATTCTGTTCCTTTTTTGTTTTCTTTATAGCTATACCTTTGACAACGGCATGCTATAAAGTAAAAGTGTAAGATGCTATGCTACAAAATGGGATTATATAAAACCTTCACTTCTTGGTACTTTCCAGACAACTGGTGCTTGGAAGACACATTAATGCAATGTAATTTAAAATCTAAGCCTGACATACATAGTGCTTACCTATATGTATATATATTGTAAGAGAGTTCAGTGCTATTCTGTTTAATTACCTTACTTTAACTGTTTTGAATTGGCAGAATTGGCAGAATTATGGTCCAGAATCTGATCCACAGTCTGACTACAAGGAAGTAACTCAGGTACAAATATTATTCATGAGATTGTATCTATTGCCTCCAGTATTTTTTWAAAAAATAGCTATCACTTGTCAAATGTAGCTATAGCTTGCATCTTCTCTGGAAACACATATTCAATTAACTTTTCAGGAGAAAAATACAGGGCAGTCTCTTATTCACACTGTGATAAAACTCCTTGCTAGGTAGACAGCAGTAGATCAGGTACATTTCTCTTTGGTCTCCATCGTGATCTGAGCAAGGCCTGAGTATCACACTAGCCTTACATAGAGTCCTATCTATAAATGGGAATCCAATCTCTGAACAAATYGTGCTTTGCACTTGCACTTGTATACCTGTGGGTAAATGGTACCAAAGGTCTTGGTACCAAATAGTACCAAAGGACCCACCTCCTGGGGACAACTTTCACTGCTGTGGAAAGCACTCTGTAACACTCGCTCAATGGGAGGCTCTTCCTCGCTCTGTCTGCTCATGAGACTAGAAAGCAGAGAAAGGTTTCAGGCACCTTTTTCCAGCAGGCCTTCAGTTCTCCCCTCATCTTTCCCCACAGTGCACCATATCAAAAATAAAAAGCATTAAAAATGAGATTATTTGAAAGAGATGCTTGAGGAGAATGCATCTTTACGGCAAGCCATCACACCTCCCCAACTCATGATTATCTTCTAGTTTTTGTGTATGCATTTCCCTTCTCTTTTCAGTTCATTTGCTTTACTCTTCTTTTGAGAGCAATTTATTTCAGCACTGYATTGCTTTCCCCCAACGATGATCCATGCATCCCTTCCTCCAGCTGAGGGAAGAAGGYTCATTCGTCCTTGGAAATTGCTTGGCCTGGCCTCCATGGAAGTCCTACCCGCTATCACTAAGAGGAGAGAGGAGCRCAGAGAAAACAGAGGGCTGAGTTACTGTTCACACATTTGCTGCAGACTCTTCCTGTTTGTGTCTCTGTCTCTTGCATTTGCATCACACCTGACTCCCCCATAAGCTGCTTTCCAACCAAGCTTCTCTTGAAGCACTGTGGCCTGTGTAAGAGCTAAAACAGTAAGTGGATGTGATGCAGCATTTTTCTCCTTGTTTTCCATTCACACAACAAACAGGGCMTTTGGCAGTATGCCTTTTTCAAATGAGAAAGGATGAAATTGCTACAGCAGATGGGAAAATGTGAAAATTGGATAATGACAGCARCAAGGAAGAACAAGGAAACAACAGAGGCAATAAGGAATTGGAAGTTTCTAAAAAGAGCAGACCAAAAGGCTTAGAAGTGGACTCATAAAAGAGAAAGGAAGTAAAACAAACAGACACTATCAGATCTGTGAAACATGAAAAAAAGAAAAGTAGGTTATGAACTTGTGGATTGCTCCAGGCAGGGTAAAGGCACAGTTCCTGGTAGCTCTGGCAAGATCAGAGAGGGGATAAAAAGCTCTGGGTGGCTGGCTGTTCTTTGCATTGAAACAAGACAATAAAATGTATACATGAATCAATCCTTTGTGTAAACACACATTTTTAAGGCATTTTTGCTGAAGGGTAGATGTTTGTGTGTGTGTGTGTGTGTGTGTGTGTGTGTGTGTGTGTGTGTGTGTGGTATCATAATAAGATATCTATGAGTCCTAACCTGAACTGAGACACACAATTCTGGATATAAATCTAGACACAGAATACATCTATTCTAACATATAGCAGTCCATGAACCATTCTTGGGCCAATAGGCCAGAAGGCAAGGGTCAGCTCATGACATATTTAAACTCTTCTCCCCAGAGCAGCACATCTGGATGCAACCTGTCTAGTGGGAGTAATCCCTAGAGTGTGCTATCACCTAATCCCGCTCAGACATCACCTGGAAGAGGGACATTTGTCATGGGACAAGGTTATTCCAGGGAGCTCACTAAGAGTTAAACTGTTTAACTCTTAGTTAAACTGTTTGGGTGATCATGATCTGGCACTCAGGCTGTGCCCTAGACCTGTTTTACTTAATCCTTACAGGAGATTAATCCTTACACTCTTGTTTGCTAAAATTTGATGTCCTCATTAACTCATGTCCTCATTCAGACTCATGCAGGTAACTGGCTAAGCATGTAAGGTTCATACCTAGCTTTGTATCCAGACATACCTATGTTCCAGAGGGTTATCAGTGGATACAATTTCCTCTTCTAAGTCTTTCTCTACCATTTAAACAATGAGCTACATAAAAAGAATTGCCTGGTCTTTGGATCTAATAGTAGCAGCTCCCTTTTGCAGAGCAATTTGCCAGTGATTTTATTGAAACACATTAAAGGATTTTACAGCTTAGTCATAAGCAGTTGTAATAGGCCAGCTTTAGATTTTGAGAGGGAAAAATACATTTTTAATGGAGGTAGGTGACTCAAGAAAGTATTGGTGACATATTATTGTTTTGGGATGAGTTATCGCATCCTAAAATAGCTATCAACACAGATAGGAAGAAGAATTCTCTAGAAGTGTCCAGACATATCCTTAGCAAATGGAGGAAGCCTAAGTGACCAGGTTAGATGAGCTATTTAACTTTCAGATATCTCAAGTCAGTTGAGAAATTTCTCATGTCCAAAACAGGTCATGGAGCAAGTATGAGTTGGTAGCTTCATGCTTGTTTCTACTCAATTTCATTTGTTCTGTCCCTCACACTGGGCAGTGTCACAGAAGAATATGAGGGTGGCTTGTGCCACCTCTCTTGGGCAGTTTGAGAACTTTGACAGCATTTGCGGTGTGAATTCATAGCCTGGAGTGTTAAGAGGAASTACTTAATGATTAAATTCTAAGCCAAATACAGATTTTCAAACTTTTGTTTTGGCTTTCTGTTAGTGACAGAAGTAGACTTGCTCACTGACGAGAGCTGGACAACCAGCAGAGCAGGCATACAGCAGAGGAGATGATATATATTCCACAGAAGCCATACTGCAGCAGAGTGTCCCAGCAGATAACAAGCATCCCATTCCGGACCCTGCAAGCTCGTTGTGGGGAAGCTCCAACTCAGTCATATTCTGTAGGGTGAGAAGGGACTTGCCTATCCTCTGACCCCCAACACAGAGAGGTCTAAATTTAGTTAAAAAAGAAATTTGTTCCTTTTTGGGTTTGTGTCTTCAATTATTGCACTCACCAGGAGTCCTTCTCTGTTTATTAATTCTGTCCAATTATATACATGGAAATGTCTTCTACTTCAGTAAGTGACCAAATTGATTTGGCAACGTAAGTTTCTTTTTTTCTTTTTTGACTTCCTATAAATACTCTGGTAAACAGATTGACTGGATTTTATCCAAAAACAAACACATTTTTAGCGAATGTTAAATGAAAAACAAGAAGTTAATTCTGAATGTGTAAAAATAAGAATTTATGCTAAGTGCCCAGTTTCAGGAATTACAGTCAAGCAGGAGCCTAGAGCATGACCAATGGATTCAATCAAATACTAATCAACACAGCTCAGATGTTCAGTATTGAATATCAGCTTCTTGCAGCAAACAAAAAACAACCAGTCTAGAAGCTAAGAGAGATTTGCAGACACTATTTGATGAATAATTTTGTCTAGCAAATACAATCAAGAAGGTTAGATGATTCCAGGAAATATGAGACCAGCAAAAGAGATAAAGTCATCAAATAAATTATTCACTCAGCTCTATTGATTACTGTATTATCCCAACCACTAATATTCTACAGTTACCTGTATCTGCTGCAGTAAATTTTTCAGTTGAACCAAAAATTCTTTTGCTTCCTTTGCTTTATCTGAAACGCCATTTAAAGCCTGAGATAGCTGTGCCTGCAAGAAAAAAAAAAATATTAGAGATAAAATGCAAATGTATTTCTTACTAATCCTTGATTTTGACAATTAGCAATGTGCTAAAAGGCTTACTTGCTGTCACATGTGCTCTTACACACATTGAGTGTTTGTGCTAGAAAAGAATAATTAAGATTTTAATTGTAATAAGATTTAATAAAGACGAAATATGCATGTGGGGGCAGTCAACTATTGTGTCTACACACTCCACTTTACTGCAATGACTTAATAAGTCAAAATACCTTTAAAAAAGASAACTACCCACATATAGAAGGAAATAATAGTCTTACACTTACAAAGTAACATCTGTTATGCTGAAAAATCCCCAAGCTTTCCAAAAGAGTGCCTTTTTTTTTTTTTCCCCCCCCCATCAAATCTTGCAACCATTATCAGTGTGGTAGATTCAACCACACCTAAGACACATCAGAACCTCAAAGACAAATCCACATTTTTAAGCCTCACAGCAATGTGTCCTTAAAGGGCTCTGATTTTCCATGCCTCAATCTAACTAAAGAGTAAATATTTCTGGAAATAAATTAAAAAAAAAAAAAAAAAGAAAGAAAGAAAACAGAAATGAAAAAAAAACTTTGGATAACTTTTGCATGGTGGGAGATAAGGAGTGTCTCTGTTGTAAGCTCACATTGAAGACCAAACTTTTTGTTGGCTCAGCTAGCAGCTGAGATATCCAGATTGAAGGGGCTCATCTGAAGGCAGCTGTTGTCCTGCTCCTGAGCACATCCAGAGCTCCTGTCACCTGGGCAGTGCGGTTCCTCACAYGGCTTTCCTCCAAGCGTGATGAGGATTTCGGAAACCACGTGGTTCCACTTGCCAGCCCTTGACAAGTCCAGACTAGGCATYAGTTCTTTGTACAAATATATTTGCTCTGTGATCCTTGGCTTTGCTGACAGAGAGGGCACCTAACACAAGGTCTGGACTATTGTGCCAAGTCTCAGGTTAGAAACTGAGCTTCTTCTTGCACCTTCTCCTTTGCCAGTCTTGGCAGCTACCAGATTGCCAAAGCCCAGTTAACTATCCATWGCAAATGGATATAACAATTGACATCAGGAAACAGAAAACAAAGTATCTTCTCTAATGCCAGGCTTTCTGAATGTTAAAGTCTGCTCTTGATTCCTTAGGTCTAGGCACCTTAAGACAGAACCTCATATGTGGGAAGCCAAAAGGTTACAAGTCTTCTAGGACAAGACCTAATGGAAAATTCAGTAAATCACCCTTCCCTTTCGCTCCTGAAGGGAAGCAGATCATTCCACCTCTGCAAAGGGCACGGCCCCCCTCTTCTTCATGCTGGCAAAGGCTGAACGTGGATCCTGGCAGTCTGGATGTCTCCTTCTCACCCTCCCTTGCTCTTCCTCATTTGAGCAGAAGGAGGAAGATCGGAGCGTGGCAGCTCCTTATGCACGTTTCACACCTCAGCCCCTGAGGTAGACACATTATACAGACGGAGAGGGACCTGGGTAACTCTGTGCAGCTGTGCTGTACGCAGGTATGTAACCAGGTATAGACTCACCTTTACTGTGAACTAGAACTCAGATACAGAAAAAGAAGCCAGCCTTGGTTTTTGTTTGGTTTTCCTCGCAGTTGCACAAACTTCCCCCTTTAGGCCCAGTTGTAGGKATTGCATCAGCGCCAAAATTGAAAATAAAACATGCTCTGCTACAACGCATTTGTAACAAATGTAATGGGAAGATCAATCATTATTGTGTTTGTCTGTCAGTATTTATTCAATATTCTCTTACACCAATTCCTACCACTACACACACAAACATAMAMAAAAAAAAAAAAAAAAAAAGGAAAGCAATCATATTTGATTGAAAGCTTAGTGGACTCACTGGATCAGACCCTAATCCCTTGAAAAGGTCTTTATTTTCTGCTAGATGAGCCCATCAAGACTTTAAACTAGCTCTCCATGAGCTAACTGAGATTTAAAGCACACTCTTCCGGATTGCTCCTTCCCCTCCATCCACAAGGCATGTTGAGCCTTTGGGTTGTCAAGCTGGCATGTGACAGGGCGAAATTGGAATATGGCAAAGCAGCAGGGGAGGAAGAGAGAAAGAACTAGCGGGCAAAAGCATCCTATGTTGTGCCAGTGACTGGCCCAGCAGAACTGTCCTGGTGTGGCAAGATTTGTCTTTCACACTGAAGACAGTCGCTGGACCCAACAAATGAAACACCTGCACCTCTCCAACATCCGCTCTCACTCTCAAATCAGACACAAAGTTTATTTCATTAAAAAAAAATAAAAAAGGAAAGAGTCAAAAATTGTATATGGTCATTACAGCAGCCATAGAAATCTGATTCCACRCAGATGAACTGTAGCCAATGCATGTACTGATGTCAGTGAGCACCATCACCTTCATTTCCTGGCACGCTACCATTCGTAGAACTGGAATAGAAAGTCCTGACAAAGCCGTTGATCAAAGGGCTCCTAAGTGAACCTCTGTGCTCGTTAAAAGCTGCGGTTGCACTAATGCAAGTGCAGCATGAAACTAAAGAGAAGACCAGATCTCCATTTCTGAAACCCACTTAGAGATAATAGCCTTGTTTTTCAAAGCATGTGTAAAAGATACCTTACAAAGCAGAGGAATTTAGTCATGTATTTCCCATTAAAATCAACTGGAGCTACATGACTAAGCCCTTAGTAAACCAAGCAAAGCATAAAAAATGCCCTGTACACTCAGAGCAATCTCCCATGCTGCAAAAATATCCACTCAAAGCCAAACTGAAATGTTACAAGCTCCACTAACACAATTATTAACTTCTGACAAACAATATTCTACATACCGCTACTTTAGTTTAATACCTGGTCTCACAACCGAGTATGGGGATTCTGGAGATGGACACAAAGTTTACAYTCCTGTCAAATACAGGAACAGAGAGATAATGAGACCAAGTAATTAAATCCAGATAGGCATGGAAGCCTCRTGCTTCCTTTGATTTTAGAAAATGAGCCAGATAATTCCATCGCCCTTTTTCAACCAAACAGTTCATGCTCATTTAACTTTGTTTCCTTCCACCTCTCTCTAGCAGCAGATTAGCTATTGATTAGATAAGCTCATCCTGGTGCTGAGTCCTGAAACAACCTTCACGTTCTTGGGAACACAASTCTTGTGGTCAGCCTAAAACAGAGGCACCCTGGCACTAATACTGCCTTTGACAGCCGGAGTGCCTGCCCTTCACAGAGCTCCACATCCTGTGGGTCCTTCTGATGCTATTCCTTCATATCATCCAGCATTTACATGTGTATGTGTGTGTATACATATGTATATATATATATACATGCACATATGGAGTGGGCAGAGCTTAAATATGTCCTTCATTTTGCATCATTTTTTGGTTTTTCCAAAGAGAGGCTGCATACAGCAGTGCAATGGGGAAATCTGTGMCGTTAGCAGCTAGTCCTGTGCAACTGCCAAGCCAATACTACAGCTGAGGGTGTAAATGCACTTCTCATTGCATGGTCTAAAACACTAAACAGAAGAGCTTACATACTTTARGATATATCATAATACCTTGTAATACACCACTATATCGTTAGATAAGGCTCAGACAAAGCAGCAGTCAAAACAATTTCTGCATTAAGCTAATGCAGAGTTCGAACTGAAAAGGCTCCAAAGGCTGAGGATGGGCATGACGTCTGTCAAAACCAGGTCTAGAGTCTGTAGTAAAATTGTCTTGTTAAGTTTGGTAACGCGGCACAAAAGTGCCCTGCGGGAGGTGGGGAAATGGAACTGAAAGCCCTCTCAAGGTTAAGAAAATGGTCACTTCCCTTGGCAGGAGATAAGCAGATACCTATCAGCTCATCCCCAACTATTCTGTTACAGAAAAATGTCCATCTCCTAAATTTACTGGACTAAGAGTGCCTTTAAACTTGCCTCTCTACCAACTGTGCCTGGATTACCTGGAGAGAACACACAAAACCTGAATTATATTTGGCCTACCATTCAACGTACAATATTTCTGTGTAAGTAATTTATGGCTTGGTCAAAACTGCTACAGGTAATAAACTTGTAGAAATTGCTGCATGTGAGAACTACTTCYAAGCACAAGTACCTCATTCCAAAGCAATTTATCTGAATGGACGTGAGTGGATGATTTAAGCTGCCTGTCTATATGGCTCCATTATATTTATTCTGCCAAGCGTATTGTCCTGGGAAAAAATAATGTCCATGAGGGTGCAATTTGGAGGTTTTTTTTTTTTTTGATTTCACTAGAATTTTCACATTAAGATTGAGACTATATATAACAAGGGAAAAATCGCATTCTGTGATAGTGTACTCCCAGAAAAAATATATGATGAAAATATAAAACAGCACAGTATCATTCATTCTTTTGACAGTATTTGACAATAGGAAAAAGAAAAAAAAAAAAAAAAAGGATTGACTATGCATTCAGATTACCCCAGAGTTTATCACATTCTTCAAAAAGGCATTAAACAATTTTAACTCGAAGTAGACCTCAGCACAACAACAGCTGGTCTCTCACAATCTGCAAGAGATTAGCCATATCTGAACATTGAATTCTGTCTCTGCTCATTAAAATAATTCTGCTCAGTATTGGATTCTGCCATTAGCATAAGTAGCAAAAGCTGTAAATTTGTGATCTGCTGCTCATCAGTCAAGAGAATTTCTCCTCTAAACAAGCAATAATCACATGCTAGTGAGGAGATGGCTAAGCCCTTGGCAGAGAATATTCCAACTAAGAAACACATTGAAGTAGTTTATCTTTCTCAGATGGACAAACAGCGCAGTTCACACCAGTGGTATTATTATTCTGAGCTTTAAAATTTAGTCATTTTTCCCTTGCCAGTTATTTTAGGTTGAGGCCATGAAGTACACTGCTGAGGGCAGCTGGCATCAGTCTCGACCTCGGCCTTTCCTGCGGGTCTGAAAGGGTCTCTCAGCGCCCCCTTTTCTGCCAGCTGCCGAGGAGTGAAAAGGAAGAAGCCCCGTGGGCAGCAGAGCCCCCGAGCTCCTGGAACCACCACCAGGACAAGTCCTTCTCCCAGGGGAGCGCTGGGAGCTCCAAGGAGCCCGCTCGGCACTCAGGTGTTGGAGTCTCCTCTCCATGTTCATATTCAGTAACAGGTAACTGTCCCTGAGTCCACCGTTCCCAACAAGGAGAAGCCAAGTTCCTGCATTCTATTTTAACCTCTAAGTTTATTCTGCCTTGCTCTTTGCTCAAATAGTTGAATGTCTGACTTGTAAAGAGGAGATTGTGTCCAAAGAGCCCAGCAGCTTCGCTGGGTTTCAGCAACCTGCCCTTGCTGCCCAGTGAGCAGCTCTGCAACCTGCTGGAGCAGCTCCAGGGGCAGCAAAGGAGCCTCCGTGTCAGTGCGGGATGAATCAAGCTGCCACTCTAGGTGAACCACAAAGTGCTTTAGCTGCCTGCAAGCCCCATCCTGCTTTTCCTGGTGCATTTTTCTGCTGTGACAGGACCTCCCAGCCACTGTTGCTGGCCTCTTTGAGCATCTGCCTCTCTTCCATCCTCAGAGAGCCCCACGACACAACATGAGGCCAGGTAGCCTCAATGCATCCCCCTTCCACACTTTCACACCTAAAAGTTTCTGGTGGACCCAGGCCACCCTCCCTCACTGACAGAAGCCTAAGTGGTGGGATGCCACAAGAGAAGGAGCAYCCTGCAGCCTCCCTGCACTCGCAGCCACCTGCAAGGGGACGAGGCAGCCAGGAGGGCCTCCCCACCACCCCATCAACAGCTCCAAACAGGGCCAGGCTTGACAGCTCCATAGGGATGGTGCCCCGGGAGGCATCTCGCGCCGGGCACCGTGCCCTACCTTGTGCTGCTTCCACATGGCGCCCAGCGCCCTGACGTCGTGCTTGGCGTGCCGGCCCTCCTCCAGGCACTGGTAGCACACGGGGCTGCGGCAGCTCACGCAGTACATGCTGTAGTTCTCCAGGTCGTGCTCGGCGCACGTCGGCACCTTGCGGCCGCCGCCACCGGCCGCCTTCCCGCCGGCCTCGCCGCCKCCGGGGGCTGCCGGGTGTCCGGGCGGCGGCACCAGGCGGTGCTTGGCGAAGGGCCCGCGCGCCGGGTGGCATCGGAGCTGGCAGGCGGCGCAGTACAGCACCTCGCACTGCTCGCACAGCACGGCGGCCGGCTCGGGCGGGCTGCGGTCGCAGAGCTGGCACTTGGCGGCGGCGGCGGCCGCGCGGCCCTGCTGGTAGCGCTGCACGATGGCCTCGAGCAGCCGGTTGCGCTGGAAGCCGCGGAGGCCGCGCTGGTCCAGGGATGCGCTCCGGTGGCACTGCGGGCAGGTGAGCGCTGAGCTGGCGGCGCCGGCGCGTGGGGCGCCCGCCGCGGAGCCCGGCGGCGCGGGCACCAGCGGCAGCACCCGCACGCCGTTGGGCGACTTGAGGCTGGGCGTGTAGGAGCCGTAGCCGCTGTCGGTCTCGCTGTAGAGGCTCAGCTTGTCGGCGTGCTCCCCGCCGCCCGCCGCGCTCTCGGCGTCCAGCGGGGCCGCGGCCGCCCCGGGCCCCGGCCCCGGGCCCGGCGGGGCGGCGGGCGGCGGCGCGGGGCCCCGCGGGTGCAGCAGCGGCGGCAGGTGCTGCTCGCCCTCGGGCGTCTGCACGGCGATGGTGCGGGCGCAGGGCAGGCAGACGTTGTGCGAGCAGGGCAGGATGATGGGCTCGCGGAAGAGCGAGCCGCACACGGGGCACTTGAGCTCCTCTTCCATGGCGGCCGCTTTGTGCGCGGGCACCGGGCGGCTTCAGCACCCGCCGCGCCCAGACAGCTCCGGGCCGGGCCGGGCCGGGCCCCGCGGCGCCGCTCCGCGCTCCCGGTGCCGCGCTCGGCTCGGGCGCGCAGCGCAGCGCGGCACGGCACGGCACGGCACGGCGCGGCGCGGCGCGGCGCGGCGCTCCGGGCGCGCACGGCTCCCAGCGCGGGGGATATATGGGGAGACGGCGCGGGAGGGAGGAGCGGGCAGCGGCGGGAGGAGCCCCTGCCAGCAAATAGGGGCGGCTCGCCACGGCTGGGGGCACGAAAACATGGAGCTCTCCTTCTATTTATTTATGTCTCTTTTTATTTTTAAAGGGTCTCTCCCCGGCCATGCTCTCGCGTGTGTAAATAAATGCGCCGTGCGTTGCGGAGGCGCGCTGGGATGGCGTTGTCCTCCGCCGGGAAGCGGAGCGAGCTGCTTCTCCGCACGTCTCCCGCGGTGCCTGAGCGCAAGCGAGAGGCACCAAATGTCAGGCCCCGCTCGAGGGCGGGAGCCCGAAGGGGTTGAGGAAAGCGGCGCCGATCCCAGCTGCAAACTCCGGGGGTAAAAGGAGAGGCAGGAGCGGGAGGCGCAGGGAGGCTTCGCGAAACGGCCCCATCACCCCGGCTGGTAGTAACCGCGTGACCCCCACACAAATGTGCTGCGAAAATAAAYCGTGGATGACAGCTGAGAGTTTGTGGGATGGAAATAAGTATCCTCAGAAGAAACCAGCAGTGGGAAATCCCCCATCTGTTTTGTTTACTCCCCATATGCTTCGCGTGGAGGTAACGGGGGTTTATTCTTACAGTGAGGAGATTATAAATAGGAGCGATTGCACCAGGCTTTTTACTTTTGTGTACCTTTTTTAAAAGATATTTCTGTRTTAATTTCATTGCCAGAGAGTCTAAAGTTTTTTTCTTGTTTCAAAATGCAAGAAGTTGTTGGTTTTGGGGCMGCTACTTAAAAAGGCAGCATTAGTTGGTGGCAAATGAAAAAAAAAAACACTTTAAATGCATCACCTCTCATAATAATGTTTCTTAATGCATTATGAGCATGTTGTCATGCTGAGCAGGAAAAAAAAATTCTAGTTTCAGATTTTGCTCTTGACAGATTGCTAACTGCTGAGGCATAAAAAAAGCAAGATCAGGGTCAGAGAGTATCAAGATATCCAAGGTTTTTGAGGGGGGTTGTTCTTTCCTCACTGCCGTTTTCCATCTAAGATCTTGCCTAGACTTTCTTGTGGAGTGGTGGGAAAGTCCAGGGTGGTTCTRAAGCTTTGGAGCTCACGGTTCAAGGTTGAATGTCCAAGATTGTCCTCTGGCACATTATGGAGATCACACTGACCCACATAAACTATTTCAGCAAGCAGTGATGGCTGCATGGAAGGCAGGATTCGTTTCCTTTGTTGGGACCTCTACGCCAAGCTTCAGAGTTCCTGGAATGACTGCATGTTTGGGCTGCCTCCACCCAGAAAACTCAGCAGTGCAGGAAATGCCCTTAAACAGCACTGATTTCACAGCCACCGTATGCTACTACAGAGTAAGAAAAAAGCTGTGGGTGAAATGTTGTTATCTTCGTAGCCATTGGTCTCTGTTCTGCCATYTGTGAGCAGCGGGAGTGGGGGTATGCTGAATATTTCCTGTATGCCTATAGGTGATTCTGAATTATAAATCTCATAGTTCATGTTGGAAGCCTTGATCCTAGAGATAATTCAGAAGCTTTTTTTTCTGGGGTTTTGCCTGCTTTCTTTCCTTGTGTGTTCAGCACCAGGGATCATAATGTATATTATCATGCCATTAGTTCAGAGAGATACAACTGAAAATGGACAATTGGATAGGAAGTGGTGAAAATGAATAGTCAAGCAAACCCAAACAGTTCATCATTACAGGTGTTTTAATACAGTGAATCTTACATTTCCATTTTGACCATTGCATTATAGTGTACACAAAACTCTAGTATTATTTGCCCTTCGCTACGAAGGGGACTGACAGGAAARCAAGCCAAGCAGACTTTAGCATCTCTGAGGTACAACCATGCTCAGCCACACCATTCTCCTTCAAACTGACTTGACACATCCTTTCCACACACCTGACACAACCTCAGAGCATATTTCCATAACAGATGACATTTGAAATGCAGCTTGTGGAACCAAAAACCAGTGTTGAAAATTAGTCTGGTCTTCTCTACACTGTGGTGTATTTTACTTGATTGAAGATATTTTTCACGTATTTACTAAGTTTGTCTCAAACTTGTTTATGTTCAGGAAAGCTATGGATTTGATAGGAGGATGAGCTGTGCAGTCTAATGCACTGCTTTATCTATCCTACTGGTCCTAGAACAGTTCTAGCTTCCAAATAACTGCAGACTTTCAATGTAGAAACATCATCCACATGGCACCATGGCTGATGGAATAGTAAATGCTCTGGTGGGCTATAGAGCATAGATTTTCCTCCCTATGACAAATACTTGTCTATTTAATTTTAAGTGTTTAAGTGTTACTGATGTTGGAAGGATCAAAATGCTGCTATCATCTSTACTGCTTCAGAGTTCGGAACAGAAACTGATGTTAGCAGTGAAAAACGGCACTTAGCTTGAGGATCCCTGTAAATGCCAAAGACTACCTTTGGACACACSTTTGCTGAGGAGCATGTTGTCCTGTGTAGATCCCAGGAATTTCAATGGAGCTGTTCACAAAGCATCATTCACTCTGAGCTTGATAAATCTGGCCTTCATTATGTTTTYGCAATGAAGCCATTCTTAAAATGGAGATGATCCATATGATTCTTCCTTTGCATGTTCAAATGAGTCTTTAATCTGCTGGAACTGGAATTGTATATGGCTAACCTAGAAACCCTATTCTGGCAGTCACGGCTTTGATCTTTATTATAATCACACAGAATCATTAGTATCATCCCCTTAAACTATTTACCCTCTGTAAGAACTTCTAATTAGCATCTTTTATATCCCCATGACGGAGAAAAAGCTAATGGAGTTTATTTATAAATTTATTTKAAAAAGATAAGTCATATTGCAATACAACCCCTTAGCAAAGAGCAATGCGATATCTTTTTGTCTCCTTTACTTCATTGCCCATGTCTTTTTTTTCCCCCACTCATTTTCTTGCACTCTTTTATATTTCAGGTTGTCCTCACATTAACCTTCTTTCCTATTAGTTTACCCTCCCTTTTTCAGCTCTTTTTCCTCAACAACTCTCCACCAAGGTCGCTTCATTTTCTTCAGTTTTCTTTTTCCCCACCAGCGGGGAACATTTGGATTCTAGAATTTCAGCATCCCTCCTGCTAACTGGTATCCCTCAAAGCACACATCTCGTGGTTTGAAGGGTAACAGGCAAAAAAAAAGTTCTTATCTCCACAGGTGCTCAGTCCATTGAAAAAAAGGCTAGAAAGGAATTGCTCACAAAAGAGAAAAGACAAAGTGCCTCTGGGTGAGTGCCAGCAGCTTGTGTTACGGTGTAAGGCGAAGARGCTCGCTGCATCCTTACAAATAAACGCATGTGACTCAGTTATCAGGGGAGGATGCCCTCAGCAACCACAGAGGACACAGCAGCTGCAGCTGCTGATCATCCCTCAACTTTAGACCGCCGTACYAATGAGTGGATATGTGTTTTGGTACACATACTTAATAAACAATATGCTACTCTGTGGTCTGTTCTCTCTGATTCTTCATTGCACTATTTACCCAGACCCTTCTTTCCAACATTACTAGATGCTGGTTTATGTTCTGCTKGAAGGGTAATGTTGCAAGTGGGCTTGGCGGGAGGCTCCACCACAGGTTAGAGCCAAGGTGATACATATAATCTGTGGAGCAGAGCACTTTCAAAACGGAGCCTTTGTACCTTTTCTCCTGGTTTGTTTGTTTCTGTAGATTTGCATTAAGTACTTTATGTAGAAACAATAGTTTCAAAATCTTTTTTTTTTTTTTTTTTTTTTTTTTTTTTTTTTTTTTTTTTTTTTTTTTTTTTTTTTTTTTTTTTTTTTTTGAGCATGCAACCAAGTCTCTATTATGTTATTTAGTGGTTTCAAATGCCTGCACATTGATCTGCTCATGAAAGAGTGAATGCAGAGCTTGGCAGAAACCCAGAAGAGTGCCACAGAAGCATGGCTGCTGATAAAAGCTTATCTGCTGGCTAGCAGGAGAAGACTGTATCTGTATTATAAATGCAGATACATATTGAATTTTCTCCATCAGAGGATTAAATCTGCCAGAAAAATACAATGCAAAACTGAGGCCAAATCCATACAATGGAATTTTATCCAGACTGTTTGCTGAGTATATGTTTGTTATCATGGTAAAATTGCAAAAAAAATGTTTGTTCCTAAATGCGTTTCCCAAGGCATATTCACATGGCTAAATCTACTCCCATAATCTATTTATGGAATTTGATATAAAGAAAAATACCCTTTTAAGTATATATGCCAACAAAAAATGGGAGACCGTCACAAACAGATCTCTATATAAGGTTGATTTCAATACTTCTTTGCAATTTCTTTTTTGAAAAAAGATCACAAGCAAACACACAAGGCACTAATTCACAATTAACACTCTTGAAGAATAAGATCCTGTGTTCCTGTGAAGCTGTAAAAACCCCTCCGAATGCAAATCTCTGGAATACTCCAGGTGCATTTAGTCTTTTCTGCTTTATGAGGAACACTCCCTGTGCTGCTGTTCTTGCAGTAGAGTGAGATCCTTTCCTTCTCTGCTAAAATACAAATTAAGAATGGGAATAAAGGCTGGAACCTGAACAACTGTAGATAAACAAGAACAGGAAATTGTGCCCTATTTTAAACCTGTTTCAGAGCACTATTAAGTATGGAATCATAATCAGTGTCTCCACCATACTATTATACAAAGCTCTGGCAACATTTGCCACATTTTTTTTTAAGCTAGTGTGTACATTTCCTACGGAGCTCATTTACTTCCAATAGGTACTGCGGCAGGGATTGGATCGTGACTCTTCATGTTGCACCCGCCAGCAGTGTCACTAAACCCAAAAGGCCTCTGTGTTCAGTCGCCAAAGGAGCAGGCACTGTGGCTGGCCTCCCTAGGGAACGGGGAAGGCTGCCTGGATTTCCGCAGCCAGCGCAGTGCGGCCAGCCCTCTGACCCATGTCCACCCCGAGGAACCGAGCAGGAGGCTGCGGGAAGCTGTGCTGGACACCATCTGTCTTAGTGCTCCTCTCTGGCCTGGGCTCCCTGCTCTGCCCAGCTGCCCAGTTCTGTATCATCAGCAAACTTCCTGAGGGTGYGATCGGTCAAAAAAAAAAGTGCTTTTTTTGCMGATGCTTGGCACCCAAGCYAGGCTCTCCAGTGCTAACCTAGGCTAACCTGGTAGCCCTGGGTTAAAGCAAACACATGGCAACTGAGAGGCTTCCTGGGGCTTTTAGGAAGCTCTCTAGGGCAGCCTGAGGAAGAGCCTGTTGAGCAGTGTCCTGGCCTCACCAGTTGACCTCCCACAGCACCCCATGGAAACCCGGGGGTGTTGGAGGTGCGGGGTGGCTGGAGGGGCTCCCCTTTCCCTTCCCACAGTCCCCAGGTTGGGACCCACCTTAAGCTGCCCCCAAATTGTGACCGTGGGGCTGCCATCGGCCCGGCCACCGCTTCACAGTGCCCTGGGGGCTCCCGCTGTGACCTGAGCCGCGGCCGCGGCGCCCGTCCCTCAGTTCGGTGCTGTGCCAGCGCGGGGAGACTCAGGCTCCCGGCTCTGTGGCACGTTCTGGTACCGAGCGCTGGTGGTTTCACAGGTTTTCTCCGCCTGCCCAAGTCACCATGGGGCAGGCAAACTGCTGCGGCAGGAGGGCCGCGCGCGGCCCCGCTCCCGGCCTGCAGCCGGAGCCCGCGGCGCCTGGTGTCTGCCCCGGGCCGCGCGGCGGGAGCGCGGCTGGGCCCCCATGGGCATGGAGGCTCCTGGGGGCAGCGTGCCAGAATGCTCACTTGATGAAAAATACAGCTGCATATGGATAAGCCGTATCCAAGCTTATCAGACTCTAATGGCCACCCCCGGGCTACCTCTCCCAAGTGGCTCTTTCCTGAGGGGAAAATGCTGTACTCTGGAGCCAGCCTTGCAGTCACATTTCTTGACCGCTTGAGAGATCTTTAAGGTCTTGAAGTTGAAGTTAGCAACAACATTAGAATTGATTTATAAGTCTTTCTTGCTGCAAACGTGGCAACAAAACAGTGCAGTGCCCTGACTCAGAGTGCCTCTTGTTCTTAGACAGATCAGTGGTTGGGCAGCTGCTGGTGGTGCATTTTCTTCTTTCTGCACCAAAACAATTGCAAAAAGTACCATTAGAAATGTGCAAAAGGAACATCCTCCACCTGAGGAGGGAGGTGGTTGGTAATAGAGGTAGAAGAGTTGTGTACCTCATGCAAACAGAGCTGCAGCTGATCCTTGTGCTGTGTAGAAGAGGATAGTGACTAAGTGACTAAGACTGGAGAAGTGAGGAGGCTACTTCATGGAGACCAACCTTCATGCTTCTATAAGGTGCCTGCCAAAATCTTTGTGTGCCCAAGGTTTAGTGCRGCAAAAGGAGCTCCAGGAGGGCTTTGCAGGCTCGCCATGTGCCTACCATCTTCTTGGGGCTGGGCAGCAGCTTTTGCTCACATGCTGCTTCACAGAGCTGGAGTTTGGGGTTGCCTGGCAGTATCTGTGCCTGCGCAGCCCTCCGTGCACCATGCAGGATGCCTCCAGGAACTGCTCCTGCCCTGCTCAAGATCCACCTGCAGCCCAGCAGCCACAGACCTTTGGCCACCCCAGACCTGCACTCAGCAACTCAGTGTCCCCTAGACATTGGGTCCAGAAGCTTGGGAGTTGTGGAGCATTAATAATCTGTGGAAGACATAGATGAGTATTATGGGCAGAAGATAACATCTCCTGTTACTAATTTGGCTGATGATTCCAATTACACAGTCCTACAGCTTGGCAAAAGGTAACCTGAGGGGCTGAAATCAGCATCAGACTGATTACTTCAGAAACTGAAAAAAAATATAGCTGAAGTAGTTCATCTGTGTCTGAAAAATCTGTTATTTAGTCCACAATAAAAATAAATAAATGACTAAAACGTCAGCCATTTATTCTCTGGTTAGATCTGAACTCCCCTGATGCTGCAGCATGCATTTGGTGTTTACCCTTGCTCATCCTGTTCAGAATCAACTGAGGAAGAGGAACTTGACTGGTTTTGGTAAACTAACCAAGGGTTATATAAAATACAACCTTTTTCTCATATTCTTCTTGAGCAGGAACACTGGAAGGACGTAGGGAAAAAAATAAGGGTATTCTAAGTATATTGTGAATAGGGGCAAACACCTCCAGTAAAAAAAAAAGGAGAYGAGAAAGTACCCTTAACATTGCGGTGTTGCCACTTCTTGAGAGCACAAGATGGGCTGAAAGGAAACAGTTGGAAAAGAAGGTAGGCTGGGCTATATATTTGTATACCCAGTTTTAAAGTGGGTGGAAATTACTACCATTTTTTTTTTCTCCTGGGTAACCTCTCCACATGTAAAGAAATTACTTACATAAAGGAGGTTTGAATTTTTTGCCCCTGCAAGAGCAGGCAATATGCCTTGAATGGAGCTAGCAAGCTGATCCATTTGTCACTCACTGAGAAAGGTCTTTTATCAAGGAGAGAGGCCTAAATGGCTTTTCTACAGCTCTACTGTAYATGGGAGAAGGTAGAAAATGCTTGCATTGTTTAGCAGAAGGTAGCTAGCGAGGAATTCTGCTGAGCCATAAAGCATTTACCCTAAAGATGGATTTTGTGTTTGGTTTTTTTTTTCAATTGTGCAAGTAGATAGAGATCTGAACCTCTCAGAAAGTGTGCCCTGAACAGATTCATGGGATAGCCTAAGAACCTCTGAAATCTGGCCTGGATGATGTTGCTGGGACAAAATTTACATGGAGTCTCCTCCATCTACTGCAGTGTTGGCTAGGAGCACTGAAAACCAGGAGCAGACTTAGCACCTACATGGAGAAATAAGGAGTAGAAATAAAGCAACCAGAATCACTAGGAGTAAGTGTAGGAAATTAATTACAGGGGTGGGAAGGAGGGACCCATTGCCACAGCACTGAGGATTCATATCAGACTCAAAGAGCAGTGTGGCCATGGGCTGAGACATCAGCATTAATCAAGAGACAAATCTGCAGGACACTGAATTTATACATTTTTTTTTTCATCACCACAAYACCTCACCTTGCTGATTTTACCACTTTTCCACTCCCCTCTCTTTCAGAAGTTAATTGAACTACCTCGTGGTAAGGAGGAAATGGAAATCAGTCAAACTGATGATGTTTACATTAGAAATATTCTATATTTATTAATTTATCATTTTCTGCATTGAAAAATAACCTGTTTCTGCCTTTGTCTTTCCCTTTTTTGCACCATCCTTCTATATTTTCTATATCTTTTAATATTATTAAATGTGTACAAAGGCTCTGCTTTCCTCTTCTCTCCTTCTCTTTCTTTGCTTCCCCTTGCTACTCTTTTTCTCTTGTGTTCCAGGGACGCTGGAGTTTGCTCATTTACTCTCCCTTCCAACACCCATCACTTTCTCTCTGTCCTTTCCTCACTGCTGGTCTCACAGCAGACACCTCCTCCTTCCCATCCTCTG